CCTTCTTGAGGCGCTCGCCCGTCGCCGCGGCCTCGGCGCCCGCGGTCGCCGTCGCGGCGGCCGCGGTCGCCGCGGCCGTGATCCCCGCGAGCTCGGCCTCGGCGGCCTCGGCGCGGGACATCGCGCCGGCGCCGCGCTCCTGGGCCGACGCGACGGCGGCCTCCAGCGCCTCGACGCGCGCCTCGAGCTCGATGACGCGCGCGCCCTCGCGGACGGCCTCGGCGTCGCTCGCCTCGCGGCCGCGCACGGCGGCGTCCAGGCCCTCGGCGGCGGCGCGGCGCTTCGTGAAGAGCCGGCGCAGGTCCGCGAGCGTCGACTGGAAGCCCGCGTGCTCCTCCTCGAGCACGCCCATTGCGCTTGAAACGCTGCCACCTGTAGCGCTCGGCGCTCTCGCGATCGAGAGGAAATCGCGCCGCGCCTGCTTTGGGAGGCCGGGCACAATTTCGCGGCCACGCGCGACGGCTTGGCCGAGAAAGCGCTCGACGCGCTCGACGCCCTCGACGAGGCCAAGCACCTCCACGCGACCCTCACCGAGGCGGTCGAGGCTGCCGAGATGCGCCACAAGGACGCGACGGAGTCGCAGAAGTTGGCGAAGGGCAAGTTAAACATCCGAGTCCTCGTTCCAACGTGGTTTCATCCATTACTGTGGCGTCTAGCGCTGTGTCCTTGTTATCTGAGGTCTGCCGTGCTATAACATGCGGTTTAGAAACTGCCCATATTCTCTGGTGGCTTGGGTCATTAATGGTGCAGCGGGTGTTCGACGATCGTGTTTGCGCACACGTCCCCGATACATCTCGGCGACAGTGCCGTGCCGTCCGGTGACATGACGGCCATAGTGCGCCGCACGTGCCGCGCGACGTCGCAGCGTGGGACCGTGGCGCGCGTCGGCTTCGTGCGATCGTCGCGGATCACGTCGATGTCCGTGCCGCGCATCGACAGCGATCGCAACCCGCCGCACCACCCCCCCGAGACAAACAAAGGAACCTCTAGTAGTCGTCGTAGTACACCTCCTCGAGGCAGAGGCCGCAGGCGGGCGCGGCCTTGGCCGGGTTGTCCGCGCGGCGCGCGCCGGGCGCGAGCAGCGCGGGGATCGCGTCCCGGGGCAGCGCGCCGTCGGCGACGGCGACGGCGGCGCCGACGACGTTGCGCACCATCTTGTAGAGCGCGCCGTCGAGCTCGAAGGTCAGCGTCGCGTCGCCGCCGCCCTCGTCGAGGAGCGTCGCCGACCGGATGGCGCGCGTCGTCGACCGCGCCGCGCCCGACGGGTCGAGGCCCGGCGCGTTGTTCGCGAAGGCCGCGAAGTCGTGCTCGCCCACGAAGCACGAGAGCGCGTCGTCGAGGCGGCCGAAGTCGACGTCGCGGTAGGCGACGTGGCCCCGGTACAGGCGGCCCAGCGGGTCCGCGCTGCCTCTCCGCGCCGTCAGCCGGTACGCGTAGCGCTTGCCCGCGGCGTTGGCGATGGCGTGCCAGGGCAGGCCCTCCCGCGCCTGCCAGGGCTTGGGCGCCGGCGCCGGGCGCAGGTCGTGCACGCGCGCGTCGTCGGGCAGCAGCCGGTTGATCTGGTGCTCCAACAGCTCGAGCGGCGCGCCGCCGAGCGGCGCGACCGGCAGGTCCGCGTGGGCGCACTGGCCGCGCGCGTGGACGCCCGCGTCCGTGCGCGACGCGCCGAGCGTCGGAATATCCGCGCCGCCGAAGCGCGTGCGCAACGCCGCGTTGAGCTCGCCCTGGACCGTGCGCGCGCCGCCGGGCTGCACCTGCCAGCCCTTGAAGCGCGTGCCGTCGTAGGCGACGCGCAGCGCGTAGCGCGTCGAACCGGGCGCCGCGCCGCGGACGAGCATGGGCGCGAGGCACGCGACCAGCGCGTGGCGGCGCGAGGCACGAGAGCGGCGCGCGGCCGAGGCCATAAGCCTACGGGGCCCAGCGTCAATGAGCCCTACAACGTTGAACTGCAAGTTACGCGCCGTCCCAGGCGTAGTCGACGTGCGCGGCGAGCGTCGCCTTGGCCGCGGGCCCGGCGACGGGCTCGCCGTGGCAGGGCGCGAGGTAGTCCCAGTCCCAGCCGAGGATTTTCGCGACGCGGTCCCCGTGGCCGTCCTGCCGCATGAGGCCGTTGTAGACGGGCCGATAAATGGAATCCATGGCGAACTTCCAGGCCCTGGGCGCGCTTTCCGGGTAGTTCCACCAGAGGTCGACGACGAACAGCACCTTCGACGGCTTGTGGCAGAAGACGACCTCGGAGAAGAAGGGCCTGTCGCCCAAGAGCTTGAAGGGCGCGCGCTCCTCCTCGACCCAGGTGCACTCGAACTCGCCGCCCCAGGCCTCCGGGCAGGCGTCGCCGACCTCGACGTCGTAGCCGATGTCGGGCCGCTTCTCTCGGAGCCCGGGGCAGCAGTACGACGTCGCCTCCGGATAGGCGTCGATCCACTGCCGCGCCCACTTCAGGTGCTCCGTGTTCGGCGTCACCACGTGGCGCACGGGGCCGAGCGCGTCGACGGCGGCCTTCGTCGCCGCGTCCAGCGCGACGGGCGCGTGGACCCAGAGGGACCCGTCGCGGAGGCGAACGACGGCCATCTTGCACGCCACATCAAACTGCGAGAGCCCGGGGATGCGCGGGTAGAACTCGCGCTCGCCCCACCAGACGTTTTCGCGGATCGGCGTCAGCGTCGCGCCGAGGGGATTGCTGTAGGTCACGGCGCGGTCGGCGACGGCGGGCATGCGCAGCGGCGTGAGGGCGCGCGTGGCTGGCAGCGCGACGACGAGGCACCAGCGCGCGGCGCGGCGCCAGCGCGACGACGCCGTGCGCGGGCGCGCGCACGCGAGGCGTCGACCAGCAGGCGTCGATGCCGTGCGCGGGCTCGACGCTCGGCGTCGAGGAGCAACCCACGAAGCAGCCATCATCGATTCTCAGTCGACTGCAACGAGGACTTCAACACGCAGCTGACCGGACAGCGTGCCTCTTACGCTCGACATCGCACGGGTCCCGCGCGCTGCGCCGTGACGCACGCGCCTCCTGCCACCCCAGGTCCGCCTTAGCGCGCGCGCGGTCGCTAGATGGGGTTCTTCGCGAGCCACGCCTCCTGGGCGTCGCTCAGCTGGGGCGGCCCGCCGAGCTCCGCGAGCTCGACCTCGAAGTAGAGCGTCGCGCCGCCGGGGATCTTGCCGCCCGCGCCGCGGTCGCCGTAGCCGAGGGCCGCGGGGATGACCAAGCGCCGCGCCTCGCCCTCCCGCATGTCCATGATCGCGAGGTCCCAGCCCTTGATGACGCCGCCGACGCCCGCGTAGAAGCCGAAGAAGTCGGGCTTGAGGAAGCCGCCGGACGCGTCGACGACGCGGCCGCCCTCGTCGGCGAAGCCGCCGAGCGTCAGCTTGTAGCGGGCCTTGACCGACTGGCCGCGCTCCGGCTTCGCGCCGGCGCCGTTCTTCGTGACGACGTACTTCAGGCCCCGCGGGCCGTCGAGGTAGGTCACCGGCGGTTTCGGCGTCTCGCGCTCGAGCTTGCGCGCCTCCTCGCTCGCCGAGAGCTCGCCGGCGCGCGCGGGCCGCGCCGCGGCGGCGGACGCGGCGATCGCTGCGACGCCGGCCGGCGCGCGGCGCAGGACCTCGCGGCGCTGCACCGGCTGCAACGGCGCGAGCGCCGACGCGCCGGCGACGACGAGCGCCAGAGCTCGGAGCTTGCCGAGCATCGCGTCGATCTCGACCTTGCACTTCAACATCGACTCAACGTCGACTGGTTTCCCCGATGTGCTCGCATGAGGGCCGAAGCATGGAGAAGCTCTCTTTACACTTGGGTGGCGCGGCTCGATCAACTGGCGCCATGTCAAGGGCGGGTGCGCCTGAAGCGCGAGCTCGAGTTGCGTCCAGAGATGTGCGTGGTGACATGGCGCCGGTTGATCGGGCTGCGCGGCGCGGTCGCGAAGTCGGGCATTTTCGGATGCTCTCGAGGGCCGCGGCGCGACGCGATCCGGGCACGGGGCAGCGTGCTGGCTGGCGCGGAGCCTCGGGGTACATGTCTGGTGCCCTCGGGCTGCTCACTCACTGGTTTGACTCGGGCGACGTGCGATGCGCGCGCGCGGCCGCGCGGGTGCGCGCGACGCGGTTTTAGCCCGAACGTGTCGGACCGACTCCTCGGCTCCTCTGGGCCAGCCCTCGTGGCAGGGCGCTCGCGGGGCGATGGCGGACGATCCCTGCTGCTGCGCGGGGCTGCCCGGGCCGCTCACGGTCCGGGGGAGGGGCGTCGAGTCGGTCAAATCCGTCGCCCGAACCACTCTCGTTCGCAGCGAGTCGCAATCCAAATGATGCCGCTCCTTCGCCGATGGCAGCCCCCATGTGTGCGCTACGCGCAGTCCCAGGGATCTTGCACGCGGGGGCGCGCGCGCGGTGGTAGGCGGACTCGACTAAATTTAATGCGTCCATGCCGTCTCGGCCCGAAATCAGCGGAACCAAATACATACAGCGAGCCGCCTAAATGCTCAATAAACCAATGTTG